CTCCATCCCTTATTCCATACCATTTGTATCATGCTCGGGTACCACATAATGTGATTGTACCAGGGTGAATTTATGTTGATACTTTTGGTCTGTGTTTGGCCCCAGCCACCTGCAGTAGTTTATATTCTCCCTGCCAAGTTCACTGATAAAACAGTGAATTCGTCCTTGGAGGGAGAACTTCTGTATAAACTGTTTTAATTGGTGTTCTGTGATTTGCTAGTTGTCCTCCAAGGTCGTTTGAAGGAGAAAGTGATTGACTGATGATAAATGATGGAGAGCGGCTTGGCAAGCTCTTCTGCCAGCTCCCTCATCACCCTAGGATGGATCCCATCTGGTCCCATAGACTTGTGAGTGTCTAAGTGGCTCAGCAGGTCACTAACTGCTTCCTCCTGGATTGCAGGGGGGCTATTCTGCCCCCTGTCCCTGTCTACTAGCTCAGGAGGCTAGTTATCCTGAGGACAACCTGTCTTATTGTTGAAAACTGCGGCAAAGAAGTTGTTAAATACCTCAGTCTTTTCCTCATCTTTGGTAACTATATTCCCGCCCATGTCCAATAAAGAATTGAGGTTTTCCTTGCCTCTCCTTTTGCTATTAATGTATTTATAAAACCATGTTTTCTTATCTTTTGCAGAAGTGGCCAGATTAAGTTCAAATTGTGGTTTTTTACCTTTCTAAATTTCTTTCTGCAGTACCTAATGACATCCTTAAAGACTTCCTAAGTTGCCTGCCCCTTTTTCCAAAGGTGATACACCCTCTGTTTTCCCTGAGTTCCTGCAAAAACTCTCTGCCCAACCAGACCGGTCATCTTCCCTGCTGGCTCATCTTTCGGCACATGGTGCCTTCAAGATTTCTTTCTTGAAGTATGTCCATCCTTCCTGGACCCCTTTGTTTTTAAGGGCTGTTTCCCAAGGTACCCTCTGAATCAGCATCCTGAATAGGCCAAAGTCTGCCCTCTGGAAGTCCAGGGTAGAGGTTTTGTTGATGCCCCTCCTTGTTTCACCAAGTATTGAAAACTCTATAATTTTATAGTCACTGTTCCCCAGACAGTCTCCGACCATGACATCTGCCACCAGACCTTCTCTGTTCATAAACAGCAGGTCTAGTGGGGTCCCACCTGCTTGCCACCTGAGCTGTTGGGTCGTGTCTTATTATATTACATTAATAAGCCATAGGCAGTCACTTCACTTTTGCCCTGATTCAGGGAGGGTATGTGTGTGGAAAGGCTCTGAGTTCATTTTGTTTTCGGCCTGATCATCTGGCTGCTTCTGGTCCCGGTTTGCCTCCGTTTTCCTGAGCCCTGTCCTGCCCCCAGCCCAGATCTGCTCAGATTTCATTGGAGAGGCAATGACAGTGATGTATTTTGAGTGTATGTCGATTGTAACGTGTACATATTTCAGTCTATCGAATTCAGGTATATGTGTTATGTGTGTTTGCCATATCTCATTTGCCACTAATCCCCTGGGGTTAACTCCTTCCTGAGATGGCATTGGAGTTATTTGCTGGCAATCTGGACACGACATGACTATGTCTCGAGCCTGATTGAGAGTGATTTGAAATTGTCTCTTCAATGAACGTGCATTCTGATGAAAAAACAAATGAGACAATTTCGCCTGCTCTATAGTTCTGGGCACTGTGGCAGACATAGCTGTTGCGTCCATCCTCTGGTTCCCCTCTGCTATGGGCTCTGGCATTTCTGTGTGTGATCTTATGTGCATGATGTAAAAGTCAAACCTCCTGTGATTGACAAGAAACCAAACAGCACGCATTTCTACAAACAAATGTGTGTTTGCAACATCTCAAAGGAATGAACTATTGAGACGGGATACCAAACTTGCACCATAACAAGAATCTGTTACAACATTTACAGGTTACTCTGAAAACCTTTCCAAGGCAATACGGATAGCAGCTAGTTCCAGAAACTGTACAGAACCTTGGTTCATGGTCTGTATCTCTTGTTCCCATTTTCCTGTATCAGGGTTTACCCATGTCACTGCAGCTTTCCTGGTCCATCCTGATGCATCAGTAAAGACCGTGAGGCCTTTTACTGGTTGGTGTTTGCATCTGGTTGTGGTTTTTAAGGGTAAATTACCCATTTCTGTCCAAAGCCTGTGTTTAGGGTAATGAATAGAAATGTCACCATCATAGCCTGGCAGGGCAGCCTGGAATCCAGTGTCTTCGGCCAGCAGCCAATTGAGGCTGTCCTTAGTTGCTGGAATGTAGATGATCATAGGATCCTGTCCGTCCAGTTCCTGTAGACGTCCTCTGCCTTTAACAACAAGTTTGGTAAACATTTCATTAATGGTCCACGCAGTTTTAGGAGGTGAATGGGGCAGAAACAGCCACTCTAGGACCCTCAGTGGATCCTATTCAGTTTGGTCCCCCTGAAACAAAACTGCGAATGGTTGGAACCTGCTAGGAACAAGAGCAAGGCAGATTTGCAGTTCAGGATTTCTCCTTCTGCCTTGTCAGCTCTCAATTGCCTTGGTGCATGTTTCTAATGCCTGCTTTGCCTCTACTGTCAGAGACCTGCTAGATGTTAAGTCCGAGTTACCCTTCAACAGTTTAAACGGGGTGTAGCTCCTCTGTGGTTAAGTCTAAAATAGGCCTTAACCAGTTAATGGCTCCTAGAAGTTTTTGCAGTTCATTTAAAGTTAAGGTATCTTTTACCTCAAACTGAAGTGGCTGGGACGAGATCTCCTGCTGTGTGATTCTCCATCCAAGGTAAGTCCAGGGATGCGATCACTGGATCTTCTCTGGAGCGACCTGCAATCCTGCATGTTGGACAGCATTGGTTAGAGCAGTAACAACCATTTGCAACTCAGTCTCTTTGGTTGTGGTGATTAGAATATTGTCCATGT